TTATATACCCAAATATTCTATATACATACTCTAAATACCTCTCAATCTCAGTGTTTAAAGGTGCTAATTGCGCATAACACGCATATTGGCGGTTGGTTGCTGGGGGGGGGGGGGATTAAGGTGCAAGTGGAAGCGTGAGTGTTCGTGAAGGTGCTTGTAGTGTTAAGTGCTTGTTTAATTTGTTTGCAAAAGTGTTGAGATTTTAGTTCTAATTATGTGTTGGGGGGGAAGAATGAGTGCTTGTAAGAGTCAGTGTTCACACGCACATATCTGTGAGTACACATCCATACGCAAAAGTACGAAGTCGCTAAAATATACATATACAAAGTAAAATAATCGTAACTTTTACCGGACTGGCAGTACCTACGTCACACCTGTCACTAGCAGATCAATACCACCCACACTACGAATAGACTGACAAACTTCAGTAACTACACCTGTCAAAGACTTCCACAATAACTTACTTTTCTTTTCCTTAATGTCACAAAAGTTTCGAAAAATGATACAGTCTCCCCTTCAAAATTCTGTTCTACGACTTCCCATTTTCTGTAGATAATTTTCACGAGGGTTCCGTTTTCTTTATTTTAATCCCTATTCGATCGTCCCGTTTTCTTCTGATCTCGCCACATTTTCCTTCCCGTTGGCCTTATATCTTTTTTTTAATTTTATTTCCAATCTTCTCATCTCATTTACGCTTGTTGGAGTTTCTTTCTTCGTTATTCTTTAATCATGTTTCACCAGTTTCGCTCTCTCTCTCTCTCTCTCCTCCTCCTCCCCCCTCCTCTCTCTCTCTCTCTCTCTCTCTCCTCCTCCTCCTCCTCCTCCTCTCTCTCTTTCTCTCTTTATATACTTGTGTTTCTATTCCTTTTTATTCTTTCAATTTTCTTTTAATCTTCCCGCTTTCTTTTAATGTTGATTTCATATTCCTATATTGACAGGATCTGTATGCATTTTATTTCAGATTTCATCATTATTGTTGTCTCTTGTTCTTAATGATATAATTAGTAATAGAACTGAAGTTGTCATCATAATTATTACCATGGCATTAATAAAGATAATAAAACAATAATCATTATCACCATTATATCAAAAAAAAAAAAAACTCCGAACCAAGAATCGTATTTGAGATAATAAAGAAACTGGCGAATAGAAGACAAGACAAAGAACCCAAGAATGGTATTACAGGTGATAAAGAAAGTGGAAAATGACAAAGACCCGAGCCAAGAATCGGATTTCAGACCATAAAGAAAGTGGAGCATAGATAAGAGGGAAAGGCTAGGTCAGGAGCAACTCGGGGTGGTGTTATGGCGTCCCACAGGGTTATATTGATGATTGTTCGATGAAAATATAACCATTATAATCATTATTTTCCATCCTTTTATTAAAAATAGAAAAGACCAAAATGATCGACCATATTCACAACGCATCCGCAACTTTTGTGACGTCATCAAAATGAACTCCATGTTTTTTTTTTTTTTTTTTTTTTGTAATGGGATCAGTCGCCATGACACCTTTTCTTTTCTTCCAAAAATGGAATCAGACGCCATGACCCCTCGAGCGGCTCCTGATCTAGCCTTCCCCACAGAAACTACGAGCCAAGATTCACTCACGGGAGATTCGACCCGCCGACCGAACCAACGAACCAGCGAACCCCAACCAATTCGCACAAATTAACACAAAGATCGCCATATGAACCCCCAAAACCTGCGACATCAACCCGGATCTCTCCCAATCGCCTCACGAACATATTTTCTTCCCCAATCACCGCATTTCTAACCCGACAGCTTCAAATTACAATAATCTGTACGTTTCAAAATTCAAACTGGGCTTACCTTTTGGTGAAGCGAATGGCGGTTGGGAAGTGTCGAATCTCTGACGAATTTCTGCAACTGGAACACGGTTGTTATAATTCACTGAATCTAGCGGTAGTTCAGAGATCGTAAAAAAGCCACTTTGAGTTCGTTTTCACTGTAATTATTAGGAAAATCACTCGCACACACGAACAGCACTGTAAACAAACTTTACTTCCGAAATGAGTAACGAATAGAATGACAACAATACTTTCAAATATTCCCGGTAGATGGCTCTGCATGCATCAAACATTTCCTAATAAACAAATGTACGTACGTAATATACAACGAATATCAATATTTACAGAATGTCCATTTAATAAATACGTCATTTCGATAGAACTTGATGGAAATTAGAACACAGGAATACATTAATCCGGAATAGATTTCAATGAGAAAGAAGACGATTGGCTGTGACGTCACGAGGTACATCCGCCATGACAGTTCAAGTTCAAATATGTCATTTTCTACGAGGCGAGAATGGGTTAGAGTAAACTTAAGAAGTATCGTTGAAGTCGATGTATCGGTTCGCTGTTACAGATTCATTTAGATATTAGTGGAAAATACAGTAGTTTATCACTGGCAACTTAATCTTGGATCCTGTTGTATACTTTGACCATTTTGATGATGATGATAATGATAATGATGTTGGTGATGATGATGATGATGGTGATGATGGCGATGATGATGATAATGATGATGATGGTGATGGTAATGATTATGAAGATGACAACAATAATGACAATAAGAATGATAATGACAAATCCAGTATCAACAATAATAATATAATAATAACGATGATCGTAGTAATAATAATAATAATGATATGATAATAAAGTACATCAAGATTAATAACTACTACTACTACTACTAATAGTAATGATAATAATAGCCGTAAAATATGTCCATTAGGAATAACCACTTTATTGAATTGATTTATACGTAGCACATAAATAAAAAACAAACGGCAAAATAGAAGTTTTTTTTTATGAGCTAAATGGAGATATTGAATTAGTGAAGCAAGACATATTTGAAAAAAAAAATCGATAGATTAAAATCTCAATCCAGAAGTAAGTTGACAATTAAGATGATAATTTTTATAATGATAATTATAAAGATAAAGTAATGTTAATAATAATATGATAAAGATAATAGATTTAAAAAGGGCAATAAAATTAAAACCCAAAATCTCGACAACGGACAAAACTTCCCCTACACCCCACCCAAAAAAAAAAACCTACCCCCAACCTCCCCCCAAAAAAAATCCAAAAAAAAAAAAAACAAAATACCCTCCCCCCCAAAAAAAAAAAACATCCCCAAAAAAACAGACAAGATCCCCCCAACCCCCCAAAAAAACTCCCCCCTAAAAAAAAAAAAAAAAAAATCACTAATCTCAAAACCCTTTCCCCCCTTCTCTCTCTCTCTCTCTCCTCTCGCTCCTCCGCGCCGACACCGCCAGAGGAGATCTCGATCCTCAGCGTCAAATTCCACCTGAAGAGGCTCACCGGCTTCTTCCTCCTGCAAGTGTACGTCCCTTGCATCCTCATCGTATGCTGCTCGTGGGTCGCCTTCTGGATCACCAAGAAGGACGTCCCGGGCCGCGTCTGTCTAGGTAAGCGGTTGCGCATGCGTGGCTGGCTGGCTCGAGGGCTGGGGGGGGCTGGGGGGATGAAGGGGGTGGGGGGGGGCTGGGGGGCTGGGGGTGGGGGGGCTGTGAGGGGCTGGGGTGGGGGGGTGAAGGGGGAGGGGTTAGGGGTGAAAGGGGATGGTTAGGGGTTAGGGTGTCTGTGTGTGTGTTGGTTCGGTATATATGTTTATATGTTTATGTATATATATATATATATATAATATATATATATATATATATATATATATGTACGTATGTATATATATATGTATATATATATATATATATATATATATATATATATATAATATATATATATATATATATATATATATAATATATATATATATATATATATATATATATATATATATATATATATATATATATATAGATAGATATATATGGATATAATATGTATATACATATATGAATATATATATATATACATATATATATATATATATATATATATATGAATATATATACATGTATATACTTTACACACACACACACACACACACACACACACACACACACACACACACACACACACACACACACACACACACACACACACACACACACACACACACACACACACACACACACACACACACACACACCACACACACACACACACACACACACACACACACACACACACACACACACACACACACACACACACACACACACACACACACACACACACATATATATATATATATATATATACATATATATACATATACACATATATAAACACACACAAACACACACACATTTGTGACACACATAAACAATATACATAGACACACTAGCATACACATAAAACATGTAAACGTAGATCTATTTTATTCATTTGGGTTCCTTATGTATGTATAGCTATAATTATTTGATAGAATTATTAAAAACTAACAGATTATGAGTATAATTTTGTTTTAACCCTGATTCGCTATCTTGCAAATGTCATTAACGGCTTTAGCAATTCATTATTGTTATTTTAAGGCTTATTTCTGTTTTTTTTTTTTTTTTTTTTTGTCTAAAATTTGTCAATGTATTTGTCTGAGACTAATTCGTAATAACATTTTTTTTTTTTTTCCTTCCGAAATTCCAGGTCTTATTTTCTGCTTATTATTAACTTCTATTTTATTTTGTTATTTCATGTAATTGGCTTTATTCCTTTATTATTTTCTCCCCTTTTTACTCATGTGTTTTTTTTTTTTTTTCTCCTGCAGATTATCGCTGTTTCTTATTTTGTCTGTTTTTTTCTCTCTCTTTTTCCTTTCTTGTTGTTTTTTTTCTTTTATTTAACCGTGATTTTCTTTTTCTCCGCAGATTTTCTTTATTTGAATTTCTTTTATTCTTTATGCTTTTTCCTCCGTTTTCTGTTGCTTCTTGTTTCGAATAACAGCGTCTAAAATGGCCTTTTTTATTTTTCCCCATTTTTCTCTGTTCTTTTGTTGAGTTATTAATTCGTATTTCTTATCTTTAACAGTTATGATTTAAGTGTTTTTGGAAAAAAAATAATTTTCCATTTTTGTCTTCATTTTCAGGAAATTTTCTTTTATTTGTTTTGAAATTTGATTGACTAATCATTCCAGTTTCCTTTGATTGCAGGCTATAACGTAAGAATCTTTATTGATTAATAATGAAGATAACAATAATTCAGTAAACAGTACATAGATCTGATTAAATGAACTGATTAAAAAAAGAATTCAGGTTTAGATATAAAAAAATTAAAGTAAATAGATTATAACAAATAGTAGAAATAGCTTATTCAGAGCATCAGGAGTCAGAGTAACTTAGCCCAGATTGTCGTGTTCAAAGCTCCCGAGTTTTCAGCAGGTTGGCCGCCCTCGGAGTCCGTGAGCAGGGCCTCCGCCTTACCAAACCTCCCTCCCTTGTAAATCAGGTGCAACGACAGTGCTTTCACTAACCAAGATCGGTTTCGGAGGCAAGTCGTCCATGCCCAAAGTCTCGTACCCGACGTCTTTAGATTACTTCGTCATCCTGTGCTTTACTTTCGTCTTCGGGGCCATCGTGGAGTACACCGTGATGCACTTCCTCGAGAGGTCGACTAACAAGCGTCGCAAGGCCATGGAGCAGCACCGGAAGGAGGTTGAGGAGAGAGCCCGAGCGCCAGAGGTCCAGGGAGAGCAAAGGGTGGGTGCCCTACAGTTTACTTCAGTTTCCCCCCTTCCAGTGGCCGCGTCCTCACGGTGTGCCGTTTTCTCTCGTAACACCAGGTGTGACTACTGTGCTGTCCATGACTACGCTTGGCTTCGGCGGCAGGTCGGCATGGCCAGCTGTCTCCTATGCCACGGCCCTCGACTACTTCGTCATTCTCTGCTTTGCTTTCGTCTTTGCGGCCGTGCTGGAGTTTGCCTGCATCAACTTCGTGGAGCGAGCGGCCAACAAGAGGAGGAAGAAGCTGGAGGATTTGAAACACCAAATCACTGAGCGATTCATGGTCTGTGCATACTGGGCGCTATGGATTGCACGCTGCCAGTAGATACAGTCCCTGAGGAACGAGGAGGAGGAAGAGGGGGAGGAGGGGAAGGAGGAAGGAAGGAAGGAAGAAGGAGGAAAGAGGGAGGGGGAGGAGAGGGAGGAGGTGGAAGAGGAGGAGAGGGAGGTGGAGGAAGAGGAGGAGGAGAAAGGAGAAGAGAAGAGGAAGGGGAGGAGAAAAGATTCTCACCCTCTTCCTTCTTCTCTTCCTCCTTTCCAAAAAAAAAATAGTCACACACGAAAAAAAAGGTGAAAATAGAATAAAAATCCTCCCAATTCTCTCTCTCTCTCACTCCCTCTGTCTCTTTTCTTCTTCTCTCTCTCTCTCACTTTCCCTCTTTCCCCCTTAATCATCCTCACTCTTTCTTGTTCTCTCCCTCTTCCAGACCCCATCTTCATAAAAAAAAATATCGACCACTCTTGTCGTGTTGAAGTAGTCTCATAATGCTGTTGTTAATCTCCTTGTTTGTGCCTTTAATGTGTGTTTGTTTGTGTTTGTAATCTTGTCTTTGTGCTTTTTTGCTTCTTCCTTTTCTTATATTACGTGTATTGGTAATATTCTAGATACTCTCTCTTAAGGCAAGTATATCTGTTCCAACTTCAGACATTTTCTTGAAGATCAATCATAAAAAACAAGATTAAATCAACTTCAAAAGTATTCTTTGGTGTACAAGTCTTGTAGCATGTTAAAAAAATATAATTATTTTCAAGTTATATTTGTGTTATAAGCATTTGTATATTTTTTTTTATTTCAATGTAGACTTCTTTTAGTTATATTCATACTTCCTGCTGTTGGTATAAAGCCTTTGATATCAATGTGATAAAGATGATGTATCTTGATATTAAAGCATTTGGTATTTTATTGATTGAGATGAGTTATGACTTAAATGTATTTGAATTAGATGTATTTAGACAGTATTTTGATATTATTTGATTGTGTGTGATCGTAGCCATTGCTGTAATGTAGATTTGTTGTTTATTAATATTAGAAGAATAGTGTTAACATTTATAAAAGAGCTTGCTGTTATTTATGTTAGAGTTTTGTTTCATATCTTAAAGCATTTTTCTAAATTCAGGTTTAATTCCGTGTTTGCATTATTGTGTGTGTGTGTGAGATAGATTGAGAGAGAGAGAGAGAGAGAGAGAGAGAGAGAGAGAGAGAGAAGAGAGAGAGAGAGAGAGAGAGAGAGAGAGAGAGAGAGAGAAGAGAGAGAGAGACCGAGAGAGAGAGAGAGAGAGAGAGAGAGAGAGAGGAGAGAGAGAGAGAGAGAGAGAGAGAAGAGAGAGAGAGAGAGGAGAGCAGAGAGAGAGAGAAGAGGAGAGAGAGAGAGAAGAGAGAGAGAGAGAGAAGAGAGAGAGAGAGAGAGAGAGAGAGAGAGAGGAAACAGTGATAGAGAGAATAAGTGGATGAGAAGAGAGAAAGAGAGAGGGAGAGAGTGTGTGTGACTGAGTAAGAGAGAAAGAGAGAATAAGAGTGAGAAAAGAGAAAGAGTGAGAGAGAGAGACATA